CAGTCTTAAAAGTGAGAATATTATTTCTATTTTGAGTATTATTTCCCTGGGTGTATATGTTGATGCATGCACAAAAGAGTGGACTTGAAGTTGGCATTGAGTAATGGAATTAAAATGTGCAGAGACTGGAGTAGGTGTGCAACCTCTCCAGGAAATTGCAGGAAGGGAGATGGTAGAGTGGAAGAATGGCAAATAGTGTTTGAAGATAAGGAGTAGGTAGTAGATATTTTAGAAATCAGGCAAAGACCATGGACTTCATCCTTGAAGCTGGCATTTCTAAAACCGTATTTGTATGCACTGGTGAAGAGGATGATGCATTTAGTGATGCACATGGTTTTTTTAAAATAAAATTTCATGTTATATATTTCTTGTAGTAGAATTTAGGAAAATATGACTAGCATATGGAATGTAAGCCAAAAAATGTAGGTTAAATACAACAAGGGAAGAAAATAATAGCTAATGTAGATGAGGATGATAAAAATTATAAAGCTGTTTCATGAAGCACAGGTGCTTTGGATACATGGCTAAAGATAATATGGAAGCTTTATTCAAGTAATTGTCACATTTACTGGCCCAAAGGGTCAGAGATTGTGGAGTAAAATAAGTGCCCAAGTAACTGCAATTATGTTTGAGAGTGCATGTTCTGGGCTGGGGATATGGCTCAAGCCATAATGCGCTCGCCTGGCATGTGCGGGGCGCTGGGTTTGATCCTCGGCACCACATAAAAATAAAATAAAGATGTTATGTCCACCTAAAACTAAAAAATAAATATTAAAAATTCTCTTTCTCTCTCTCTTTCTCTTTAAAAAGTAAAAGAGTGCATGTTCTTAGTAATAGTTCTGAACTGTTTTGCTGTTAAGATAAGTGAAGGAATCATTGCAGAGATGTCATTAGGTCATAACAATGAATTAAGAAGCCACACAAGTGAGAAAGAGAAAAAAAAGAGTCATGATTAAATATGAGGGTAGGATTGGTCAGTTAAATTCAGGAAAATATTAATTAAAGTTCTGTCACATCTTGGAAGTACAGAAAACAGTGCTGAAAAGTGATGAGCAGGTTCTTATGTATTAAAAATAAAAGCTTGTGCTTAATCCAACTTACTGGATTCTTGACATCTGATGAAAGTTGTACCCAGGGATTCAGTGGACCCCAGGGTAGTGAAATACTAGAATGATTACATGATGAGTCTGAGAGCAGATCACTGGATTTCATGCCCCAGACCTTGCATAAGATCCCTGCAAATAAATGGATCCCTGAAAGTCTCAATTTCCTCATCGATGATGAGACCCTTGTGTTGATATTTGTAGGTATGGCTGGGTTTGAAAATTAAAGTAGGTCATTTTCACAAAGTGTTTTAGGATGCATGTAGTTAGTGAGCAGCAAAGTGATAGCCTTTGTGGTTACTGTGTAAGACATGGACCTTAAAGGGAAGACTGACAGCAGGAACATAGCTTCACAAGCCTCTGACATAGTCCAGATGAGAACAAACAAAACTGTGAACTGGGACAGTGGCAGTAGCAACTGGAAAGAGGACAGTTACACAAGATTTTTTCAGAGGCATAAGTGCCTTCATGATTCATTAGATGTGGGAGGCAGACACATGACTCTTTAGTGTTCACGCCTGGCTCGTTGGGGCAATGGTGCTGCTTTTGCCAGATATAGAATAGTCAGGGAGAGAGGCTGGTTTGCAGGAGAAATCCTGGATCCAGAATTTGTTCTTATGTATTGACACTGAATTAAGGATCTTCTCATGGACTATCTATCTACCCCCAAGGAAATATGTTTCTCAAGTGTAGTACAGATAAAACTGATAGTGAAGGAGGTGATCCAGGTGATGAATGAAATGACTTTCAAGTAGCGTTAAACTACCTGATGAGAAAATTGTTTCCTCTGAAATGTTCCTTCTATCTTAATTATATCAAGGAGAATGTTTTACTTGGATACTAATTGGTTTGTGCTATATCTGTAGATCTCTCCCTTTTTCTTATATTCAATATCTTTCATCTGGTCAACACAAATAGACACACTTGAAATTTGTCAGTGGGTTCTGGCTTTTCACTTATTGTCTTAATATTATAAAAAAACATTTATTTTATTAAAACAATCAATGTAAAGAAAAAAGAAAGGGCTAAATACAGAGATAAAGATAAACTTGACCATAGGTGCCTGGCCTTGTACCTGCCATGGTTGCTCATAGCAACACTGGTCTCTTTCCCCCTAGCATAGTTTCCCAGCATGCTATAAATAAATGCTATTACAGTCAGACATGGAGCTTTACCACCAGACTCTGGTGCTGTCAGCTCCAGAAATGTGTCTGATGTTCTTGACATTAGTTTGAGAGAAACCAGGTACATTCTGGCTTGGCTAACATCATTTCATCCTCACCATTCAATAAGCCCCTCCACCTGGCCCACATCACAGGGAACCACTGGTCTTTCTGCTGCCCTTAGTCATTCTGTCAGGAAGTCCCAAACAAATTATACCCTGTACAATTCTAGATCTGTCTTCCTCTTTGTTTGATCTCAGGACTCCTTTCAATCAGTTCTTTTACAACAGAGTTTTCTGATACGCTAAGGAACAAGAAGTACAGTTACCACTTAGGTGACTGGATTTTACTAAGCTTGAATGAATGAAGATTAGAAAACCCTGCAAAGAGCTATGTTGCATTTTAGGCGATATTTGTGTCCAGTTATAACAGAGGCTTCTTGAAGGGAGATACATTCTCTACAAGCCTAAAAGAAAATCACTTTATGATAATGACCATTATTCAAAAGCATTATAACTTGGACTTCTGATAATTTCCACAAAACTTAGAAATATGTATTCTCTATAGCTATTAACTAGTTAGAGTGCACTAAATGCAAAGTTAAAAATGGCGTTAGAAATAAAACAAAATATCCAACAAAGACTTCCAATGGTCACAAAATGAACTCTCATTATGAGTCAGTATCTGAGCTAGTTTTTAATTCGGCCTTTTCTTTTTATAGTGGTCATTGAAATAGTGTACAAAATACAAATCTGTAAGAACAAGGAGTGGCAAAAAAAGAACAAATGTAGAGCCTACCCATAATATTAAAATTCATAAAAGAGTTGATGAATTCTGGTAAGTGAAGATACTCGGTATCAAATCGAGTATGTTTTCAATACTGTTTCATTGTGATTTCTTCAGCAGGATGAACAGCCTTGTGGGACCCTAGCAATTCTCTTTGCTAAACTAAGAATAAGGGGATAATTTTCTCCTGGCATTATCTTCTAATTATCAGTAAATGTCCTCTACCACTCTCCATACGAACATGGAGAGGAGAGTCACATTGAATCCTATGAAGTAAAGCCAACCCTTCTGCTTCTGTCATTTGGTCTTAGTGCTACTCTGGGCCCCAAATGACTAAACAAAAAAACGTGCTTGTCATGAGTTTGTGGGTTCTGTTTTAGGGTACTAGAATAATTATAGAAATACAAATATACAGCACAGAGGATTGGAGACTATTTTTGCACTTCCTTTCACAGATGGAAGACTACAGCTCTAAGGCAATCCTGAACCTCTTTTTTAATTTGTTTTTCTAAACCAAAGGAAAGATTGTTCTAGTACTTGATGGCCAGGATTTCCTGTGAATAAGGGAACAGAAGGCCACCTTTCAAAAAATATACTCAAGCATTACTTGACCTTTCTGCTGCTTTTTTTTTTTTCTTTTCAGAATAAGAGCCTTGAGAAGAAACTTGCAAATGCTGAAAACAGTGTCAGGACCAAACAACTCTACGATTTATAGAATAGTGTTTTTAAAAGCCAGAATCTTGAATTTTTATCTTTATATAGGCCCTAAATTTTCTTTTCTCTATACAATAGACCAATGTCTATTCCAACTTAACCCAAAAATATGTCCTGTGAATTCTAGAAAAAACAGGTATGTATGAACAAATCCATAGAAATATGTTAACCTCATGGAAATATGTTTCTAATGAAAAGCCTTAAGTAGACATAACTTGAGAATACAATGTATTTGAAATTGTGACCTATTTAAATTTACATAAGCTTAAAAGGAATAATCGGAGTCATCTGCATGGAGGATAGATACATTCAGTATTTTAGAGTTCCTACTAAACACACAAGAGAAAGTTCTTATTTAGAAATACATTTAACCCACACCACTTGACATTTCAAAACAAATACATAATAGCATTATAAATTATGAGATTTCATGCAAAAACATTGACTTTAGCTTCTATTGAAAAATCTAAAGTACTGACCACATTATTCCTCATGCATACCTGATAAGCATAATTAGTTTTGGTAACACTTACTATTGATTGAATTCTAAGTGCCAGGTAGGTATTATTCCATTATTCTAAGCATTTCACGTTTTTCTTTTTATACAGAGAATCCCTGCGAGTGGTTCTTTTTATCCATCTTTGATATTTGGGTACTTGGGAAAGTTGATCCCTTAGAAATTCAATAAATTTGCTCAGCATCTATAGCTCATAACTGATGGAGTTGGGATTTGAGACCAGAGTTGATAATACCCAAAGCTTGATTTATTTCCACTAATAAAGCCAATCTGAAATATTAAATTATTGAATGGAGAATGAGTCTATATCCATTACAGTCATTTTTCTGCATTTGTGGAATGTACGTTATCTCTGTATGATTCTTTCAAATATTCCTCTTTCAGTATATTAGAAAACATATTTCCTAAAAGAAACAATAAATTTACACCTAATAAATATTTTCTTTTTAAAAATAATTGCTATTCACATTTGCTTAAACAAATTAGTAAATAATTTACTAATCCAATTTGAATCCAATTTGCTTTAAATTGATAGAATACAGTTATGTTTATCTATTCTACTAGAAAAGCAATTATAATTTTCTCTAGAAAATTAAAACACTTCATTAATTTTCTGAATATCATTTGTAGACAGACATTGAAAATACTTTCAAACCATATATACCAGAATTTTAACTCCAGAAGGGCCATTTAAAATTCTTTTCAAGTGGGTCTTACCAGAAGTTGTCTTCACTACTTCAGTGGTATTTCTCAATCCAACAAATGAAAACTGATAAAGCCTCCAGGATCTTGTGTCACCCACTTCCACAGAACTACGCTTCCACTGATAGACAATTTCTTCACGTGGATAGCCATCTACCGTGAGATGGAAAAGCTCATGTTAAAAATGATGATAAATGATGATTAAACGAACATACGTCAGTGAAAAAGGTTTTATAATGCAATTTTTTTGTTTGGAGAGAGAATTTGTTGGGAGAGTTCTGGTCTATCATTTGCAAGGCCATGGGTTTGATGTTCAGCACCAGAGATAAACAAAAATTCATCCGTAATCAATTTTTTATTCTACCTAACATGTCTAACTGGCAGGCCAAAAATGAGTAGTAGATAAGAGACCTAATATAGATACTAAACTAAAGTAAGTCAAACATTTAGGGAAACTGAGGTTTGCTTGCTTGGGTTTAGGTACCTGTGAAGTTTACGAAAACTTTATCTCGTTTAGATTTGTTATGAAACTTCATGGGACTTTATTATCTGGTAAAAATAACAGCTAATAAGAAGTTATATTGAGTTTAACTGTGTCAGGGTGCATATTAAGCATTTTACCTATGTTATACCAGTAAAACAGTAATTCTGTATGGTAGGTCTTAACTAGCAATGTGCTGCAACATTCTTTTCCTGGGTCCAAGCAAACATTGCCAATTCATTAAAACTTTGAACTCCAGTGAAACCTATCTGTAGTTTCTGATAAAATAGATCAGTTGTTTTTTAGAAACTGCCTAATTGAGACAAACTGGGATTAAACTAAAAGCCTGTCAAAATCTTCAAACTCAGTGGCATAGTTTCATGCTATTTTGCAATTCTTTGCAATTCTCCCATTTGATTGACATTGCAACCAGAAAAACTATACATGAGATGGGACACAGAATGCAAAAGAACTACACTTACAACTGGAGAACTCCAGGGGACAGGAGTGTTCATCCATTGGAAAGTTGTGCAACTGTAACTGGCACTCAGCATCAATTGTCAGTCTAAACAGAAAGATATTAAAAATAAACAGAAAGAATTTTAAATGCACATGAGCATGATTTCTAGAGTGTATCTCACATCCCAATCCATAACACAAAATGATCCATAACACTAAGTGCAGTCAAAAATTAAGAGACTAAATGTGTGTTCAATTTTGCAGACCAAAGCTTAGCCTCTCATTCGCCTCAACTCCATTTATTCAAAATTTGTGATCACTTAAGTTTTGTGTTTTGTTTATTTTTTTATTTTTTATTTTTGCAAATTAATTGCACACATGAGATTGCTCAGTGAATATATTTAACTTACTTAACAGAACAAACTGTTTTAAGAACTTAAGCTCATTTATTCTTTGCATATAAAAGAATGCTGAGAATTCTCAGATCTTATCTGCTAATTAAAACAGGATGTTCTGTTAGTAAGTGCTTGTCAGCTGTTAGCTTTAAATTGCTATAGGTAAGTTTAAAAATTACTGTGTTTCACAATGGACTTTTATGCATTTTTACAATGAAACACTATGAATTCATTAAATAGGATGTTAAAAGAGAAGAGGAATATCAAATCATAGCCAATCCATATTGAATACATATACACAGACATATTAGAAAAATGTTTGCCAGTGAGTATGAATTAGTTTGTATCTGGAGGGTTATTAATGTATACGGACTTTTAGTCTAAAGTCCTAGACTGGGACTCCAGGAGGAAGAAGATTTAAAGGAGCCCACATGTTTTGACCACCTTTTAAGAACTGTGAATATAATCTACAATTGTATTGATGGTGGGCTGACAATTTTTAAAGTTTCATATTTGTTAATTCTTTTATTTAAATATATATAAAAATCAATGTTTAAGTTGATGTTAATGTTTAAGTTATGTTTTTATAAAAATTATTTTAAATATTTCTCAAATTGCATAACTTTTAATTGGAGAGACTGATCTTTCAGTGTTGTAATAGAGCAATTACTAATCTTTAAATATATTTGAAATTGTCTAAGAAGCTCTGGATAAAGTGAATTGTTTCCTCATTTGATAAATGTGCCTTAATTGCGCTTGAACTTGTCCAAAATCACATAACTAGTGACACGGTTAATATTTGGGCTTAGGTTTATCAGTCTTTAGAGATGGAGGTTTGAATCACTGCAACTCCATAATTACATGTCATTCAAATAAAAGACTGTTTTATTCATAATTGAATTTATTCTTAAATTTAATACTTTATTAGTATTATCTCTCCAAATTAAACCTGAATTATTAAAGTTGAAAATGATATGGACAGATTGCAGATACACAGAAACAGACATATGCATGTGCACATACCCTCACCCCTGCACACACAGCTCATTATAGATAAGCAACCAGAATAAAATCATTTCTATATATAGACTGGCAATGATGCAAGCCTTAATTGAATCTTATGAGTGACATATTGAGGCAGCTTTTATAATTAACTATTGTAGTGATTTCTCAAATTAATAAGTCAAAGGATGAGTATAATGTTATGAGAATGATAAAGAGACTTGAGACAGTGTGACTGACTTCATAGTTCAAAAGTTAGACTAAGTTCTAATTTATTGGACCAGGCTTTGATTTTCACTAGTTTCTAATTCCAGTTATTACCTTATCTTTAATTTAACAAAACCCATGATGAATGAATTTAAAATAGATGCAATGAATTTCTTTTGCAGTTGTAGTCATTTTTTCTCTTGATTTGATCAAACTCAAAGCCTTTAGGCTTTGGAACTAATTTGAAGTATTCATTTTGTAAACTGAATATTACATAAGACATAAAAATATGTATCATAAGTGACATAAATCATTTTGAAGTTAGATGTTCTAGGATACTAATATGTAAAAGAATCATATTGTTCCCATTCTTTTACTGAAAGTATATATACAGATATTTTAACATCTGCTGTATTTACTATTTATGACTCAATATTAAGCATTTTATCTTTATAACAATTCTGTAAGGTAAGAATATTTATCTGTACTTTATAGACATTCTGGAAAGAAAGGTACAGGTTTGCACAATTGTATCAGAGGTGGGGGTGAGGTAGCATAGTGCAGTGACTGATGGTGGTCACAGTAACTTCCACCAGTTCTCACATAATTCATCTAAATAAAAGTGTAACCCAGTAAAAACATCTTGCTTACTCTGCACACAAATCTTTGAGATGTCTTTTAGAACCAAGAATCTTTTCATCATATGTGTTTCTCCAAGTTCCCATAGATAGAATTTCTGAAGAGTTGCCCAGTTCAAACAATTAACAAGACAGAGAGCCAGATCAATCTGACTCTTAAGTATATGTACTATTTTACTATTTAATAATGTACTCTCACTAGTGAAGAACTTCAGTGTAAAAATATTTTAAATGCCTGTGAGTACAAAGTGGGCTAAGATGATGACATAAAGTAATTTACATAGAAAACTTTGCAAATATTATGTAATCCTAAATTCAGAAGATATAAGATGGCTTCTTCAACTCTTACAAAAGATGCCTAATCCTAAACTAGATAATAAATTATGTCACACAACCTTGGCAATGTCATAGGGAAGATGGACAGGAGATGGAAGATAATAAATTCTAAGTGCTTGCCATTGTTCAGCTAAAAGAAAAACGATGTGTGGAGGCTCCCACATCAAATCTTCTCCTTTAGCAATGATTTCCTTAGAAATGAGGACATTTTCAAACACAAGAAGTGGTGGTCCCCAAGATAACTACTTTAGTTTCTATCTTCTAAATTAGCAGGACTCACATCCAAAACATCAAGGAAGGTATAAAAGTCAGAAGATCTCATATAGGTAAGAGACATTTCATACCAGTTGTAAGAAAACAGTGTACTTACATTATTCTCAGAAAATTAGTTCTGCCTATGATTAGAACTTTAATGAAGATTATTGATAACAGATAGAAAAACTCGGTGATGTTCTATGCTATTTTCATGAGATACCCCAACCCTCATATGGGCTGGAAATTTTATTTTTTCTTTCCTAAAGATAGTGTGATAGATTTTTGTTATATCCCTAGTGATTACTGGGCTTCTTTTCCAAAAGAATACCTTAGGGTGTAGAGCACTCGACCATCATTCCAAATTCTCAGCATCCTATTAGGAGTAGTTATCCAGTGCGCATCAGCCTTTTTGGAGTTTCTGAAGAAAGTATCTGGGATCCAGATTTTCCCCACCATGTTGCTATTCAATCGGAGGACTTTAATGGTACTGTTAAATTTCAAGCGTCTATCATACCATGTCTGGGCAAAAAATATATCAATTGTATACTCCTGTTTTAAAGAGAAAGATAGATCACACAGAACATGTTAATACAATAAAAATATATTTTGCATATTTTATTCTTGCACATATTGCCAATATGAAGGAAAGTACTTGGCTTTGAATACTCCAAGAGGAAGCAAGAGCTTTGTTTATAAGGCCATTGCCTCGCTTATCTTTGCAAGCAGTTTTATACTTTTATTTTTTAAAAAGACGTTTATAAATATATTCTGACAAAAGTTCAGAGCCCTGACATCATTCTTTGCTTCCCATGTCTAGACGACAGTTTGTGGTGGTATTTTGAGCCAGCTAATTCTTTGCTGTGGAAAACTGACCCATGCATCATAGTGTGTTTAGCAGCATTCTTTACTTTTATAGTCTAGACAGCAGGAGCAACCCCTCCACTCCATTGTAACTCCATCAAGTTGTGACACCAAAAATGACCTCCAGACATCGCCAAATATCTCCTAAGGAACAAAACTTACTAGGTTCAGAATCATTATTGTAGAGTGAAACAAAGTCTAGAATACCCAAAAGGTACTAAACTGGAGCTTCAGATACCCCATAATAAAATGGAGATTCTAAGAAATCTAACAAGTCAGGTCATGTCAACATAGAAAAAGTGAATGCACATGAAGTGCTTCACACATGCATGGCAGACAGCAAACAATCAATGAAAAGTAACTCATTTTTTTCACTATTTATTATAGCTGCTTTTGCTTTTTCTAAAGAAGATGAAATTAATGAAAAATCATTTCTAATATTGCACTAATCTCTATCACAAAGCCTGTTCTTAAATGCCTATAATGATTCCCCTCAAGCATATGTCACTAAACCAGAAAAATCATTGACTTCAGTCAAAGAAAAACAAAGGTGCTGTGGAGTCATAATACTTGAGTTCCAGTGGGACTGTCACATTTAGAGGAAGTCTCTGTGGAAAACCCTTTACTCCCTGGGCCTCATTTCCCTCATCTTCACAAACTAGCAATCAATTCATTACATGCTCAGGCCCCTCCAGCTCTGTAATGCTATGATGCTGTACTTCTCAACTTTATCACCACCATCGCCACCATCCAGCCCTTAATCACAAGGCTGCTCTCCTTTTATTCTTGTTTTCTTATTTATTCCATTGGGTACTTATTTGGTGTCAGTCCTCTGGCTAAATACTTTTCATGCAACATCTCATCTAATAAACTACCTATGTGCAAATACAACAAAGAATAAACTATTATTACCATAAACTGCAGATTAAGTTATTTGATATTGGCATCATTCCTAATAATGAACCCTAATTAAGTCTCACAATTTTTTGTAACTTAATTTTAATTATGTCTATGAAAATTTTAAAAAGTAGAAACAGCTCAGTATTCTTAGATGGTCAGAGACAGGGAAAAAAGTCACCCACGTTCTCCAGCCCAGTCCCTCACACTCTGTTTTACATTAAGCATAATGAACCAGGGAAATCATTGATTTGTTAGAGAATAGGTGCTTACTTTACAATATATACACTGTTTTGTGTCTTTTCCTGTACCAAAATTTTGAATATATTTTGACCAAAACAGAAAACAAACCCCAAAATTAAAAAAATCCCACAAAAAATAAAACAGAACTGAAAACATCTGAGTTTTAACACCAGCATTTTAGAAACTGTGACCTTGGGTCTGTTCTGGAGACTCTAATTCCTAAAGAAAACAAAAATTCTAAATTTAAATAAACTGCCTACAGGAATGAAGTTACTCTGATACCTATAGATTCCCGTTATTAAATATTTACAACTTATACCAGAAACTAAGGATTTTGAGAATTTTATTTATAAAAATGTAACATGTTAAAATGAATGGTTAATGGTAAAGTAAGCAATGGAATTTGTATGGGCTATTCAGGGGGTGCCCTATAGTTTCATCACAGAATTTTGTTATTGCTAGCTTGGTAAACACTTTTTAAAATGTGCCAATATCACACTGGATTATATTATTTTTTAAATAATATAACATATTATCATAACTCCTTGACCCCATTCTTTCTCTCTCCACTCTATTATACTACATACTCAGCATATTTTCTCATTTCAGATTTGGGTGGAAAATGTTATTGAAGAACAAAATTACATTCATTATTATAACTAATGAACTATTTTCTCTGAAAAACCTTTCTAATTTGATATAAACTCTGTCATCCCCACAACATCAATTTTCTAAAAAATAGCGGAATACTCTATTTTATTTTATTGTAATTAGCAATTGTCAAGTATACATACAGTAGCTGAATTATACTATTATAACATTTTATAAAAATTAATTTTCTATATTATATTTAATTTTTATAACAAAAAGTCCTCGATATTTATCTTCTAATCACAAGAGAAAAAAACAAATCTGAAAGATTTTATTTCTTTTCCAAAATGTTGAACTTAATCTTTGTAAAATGTTTTTATTGGTGCATAATAATTATACATAATTAGTTGGATTCATTATGCCAAAATTCACATACGCACATAATGTAATTTGATCAGCCTCATTCCACAGTACCTTAGCTTTCCTTCCCTCCTCGATCATCAGATCTCCTTTCTTTACTGATCTCCCTTTTATTATTATTATTATTATTACTATTAATATTATTATTATTTTAATTAATTCATTATATATATGGGTTTGTGCTATGTTTTTGCATGTGCATAGCATAATTCTCTTCCCCAGTATTTCCTTATATCCCCTTACTCCCTATCTATCCATCTATCCCTGTCCTTTGTTCTATTATTTTCTCTTTAATTTTTTTGACATTTCAACCTTCTTCCTTCATTTTCCTTTCTTTCCCTCCCTCTGTCTAGCTTTCATATATGAAAGAAAATATTCAAATCTTGACTTTCTCAGTCTGGCTTATTTCACTTTCATTCATATATATAAATATATATATATATACATATATATATATATTTATTTATATGTATGTGTATATTTATATATATATATATATTTATATGTGTGTATACATACAGAGACATACACACACACACACATATACACACACACACACATATATATATACATATATATATATATACACACACACATATATTAGTTGTAGATGGACACAATATCTTTATTTTATTTTTATGTGGTGCTGAAGATTTAACCCAGTGCCTCACATGTGCTAGGCAAGCATTCTACCACTGAGCCACAACCCCAGCCCTTCACTTTCCTCTTGAGTTGAAATACATATCCTCTTTTCTGTTTGGATTCCTCCATTTGAGTATTTAGAAATTCAATGAGACCATAACCCATTAAAACTAATCTCTTGTATTGGCATGCTACTTGTTACTTCCATGCTAACGAAATAGACAATTTTAACATGAAACTCACCATATTGATAGCATTCACTGGGCCAATGCTATTAACGTACATGTCTGTGTGAATTAATGTTGGTTTAACTGTAATGAGAAACACAGAGATATAAACAGATGGAGAGGTACAAAATTTTATCATTTTAGTCTTTATTTTCTAGAATAGACTCATTTAGCTACATTAGAAGTATTTTATTCATAACTAATTTAGTACCAGTTACTAGTTCAATACCTTTGAATAACAACTATGTTTTCAAAGGAATATCTCCTTTTGTGCATGTAAATGCAATAAACAAGCATAGTAGAGTTTTGAAACTGATTATCCTTTTGATACTATATAAAAATGGAGAAATCAAAAGATACTGTTCAAAGCTTATTTTCATTTTTTTTCTCAGACATGTTGAATTTTTCCATCTTACCTTGAAGCTCTGTGATCTACTTTCATATCTTAACCTGACTTTACCCATGTAGAAAATAATTAGTTAGTAACTCAAGGAAAAAAAAAACTACATTAGAAACATGAGGTAGATATAAAGAGCCACGAGTAATATGAATTGTTTTTGAAACATTTCTCCCTGCTGATTCATTTTATGACCACTTTATCCTTGCACACCTCTAGCCAACCCCAAATCAATCTCCCTCAGTGAATTATTGCATGCTGTGACTACACAGAAAAGATGGGGAAACCATATGGAAATCCATTATAAACCTATTTATCAGTGAAGACTGGTATAAAAATCTATAATGTAATATCCATGACCAAATACGGGTGCTCCATTTTCATTTAGCATTTAATGAACAAAGATTCATAATAGCATTCTGGGCTTTGATTCAACAAAGTACATTTTTTTCTCATCTTTATTCATTTTCCCAGAAAAACTATGCCAGACTCCATAGTGGATGGAATTCCTCAGGCATATTGGCTTGTGCAGTCTGACCTTCATCTCAGTGATGTTGTTCCTCTACCTCTAGATTCAGGCTTGACCAGTCTTGCTCTGGATAATGATATATAGGCAAAAGTTAATTTGCCGGTTCTAAGCCTAAGCATTAAACACTGCGAGTTTCTCATTTGCTCTTTTCTATTGCCTTGAAAAGGATTCTCCTAACTAGTATGCTAGTTCCAAGAGTAGAATGAAAGATGCTTAGAGCACCTCTGCCCCATATGAGCAGCCTCAGCCTGGTTTGGGCCAGGTTAGTTTATCCCTGGGTACAGTGTTAAAGAAATGCTTTCTGATGTTGGCCAAGTAATTTGGTCCTTGTTTGTTACATAGCAGCAGGTTAACCAGTGTAACCTTTCTAAGTTTTTCTTATTTTTTGTTGGTATTTCATAAGACATTGTCACTATTTTTTTTTACAGCTTTGGTCTAGAATAACTAAGAAAATTTGAATTTCTGGGTCAAGCTTCACTTGAAAATCACATTTTTTTTTTCATGTAGAACTGATCAATACCCTTCCCACCCAGTCTTGAATGCTATTTACATTCTCTATTTTTTACAATACAGAAGTATAATTTAAAATTTTCTGGCTCTTGAAATATGTCTCTGCTTTTCTTCTGATAAGGTGGACACATTCAGGTGGTCCTCTCAGAGAGGCTTCATCATACCTCCTATGTCAGGTCGAAGTTTGTTGTCATATCCTTCCAGCAGGTTGTTTAAGATGACAGTGACATCTCCTTCAGGAACTTTAGGGGTCAAGACCCAGGTTTTGTTAGAAGCATAGTCTTCATAGTCGTCATCAGATTTTTGACTGGTAAAGCTAAGGAAAAAAAAAAAATATTGGTCAAGAAACAAATTACGTGTGAGTTGATTTTTACCAAAAAAAATACTGATGGTGAAGGAAAAATGAAGCAAGTTTACAGGAATGTAGAAAACAAACAAGAAAAAAAAAATAGCCACCTGATGTTGAATCCAACTGATCAAACTGTACAGATGGGGATTAAAATGTATTAAAGCATCTCCCCAGTTTTCCAGGGTGCTCTGACCTACCATCTATAAATACACCACGAGTCATCATTTATTTCTGCCTTTCCCATGTTTGACATTCTTCCTACCCACCTGCCCAGCCTCAGGAAGGACTTATTAAAAAAAAAAAACTATTTTTGTGAATGTGATGCTTAAATTATCATAATGTAGTCTAAGAATTCAAGCACAATGTCTACTTCCTCCTCCTTTAGAAGGAACCTATTCATGAAAGTAAGAGAGTGATAATTAGATCCACTCCCACAGACCGCCAGACATTCTCCCCTCTCAATTGAAATACTAGGGATAACTTTATCTTGCTGCCTCTTCTGCCCCCAGGGTGTGTGCATTTGTATTTTCCCCCCTTGCTTGTACTGAAGGCAAGGGAAGTTCATTCATCTTTGATCGTTAAGAACCTGGCACTATGAAGAAAAAATACAGTTGCAGACTTTAAGTCACCATTTATTTCTGAAAACATTTCTGAGCTGGAATTTCAGACAGTGGTTGATGTAGTGCAATCATATAAATACACACCTGTTCTGACTGATAGTCATATACTACTCCTGTAATTCAGTCTTAAATGACTACAATCTGGCAGAACTCCCCCAACCCTGCGTCACACACATACACACTTAAGATAGAAGCTAAGTGTGAATCTGGAAGGTGAGTGGACTTCCCAGAGCTTACTTCTTCCCCTGCCCTAAGTCCCAACACTCTCCTCTGCCACACATAAGATGATTATATTTGACTGATCTAGGAAAACAGGAACCCTTGTAAAAGTTGCCATTTTGTTTTTAGGAGCACTCAGTGAATATTAATTTAAAAAGAAAAAATACAAACTTTCCCACCCTATATCCAATTTCAGTTTATATTCCTGAATATGTGGATATGTGGTATAGAGTAGGTTTTTTTAAATGTCAGATATCAAATTGCCACAGTACCCCAAACACCTGTATTCTCAAACCATATTTATTATCTTTTCTCAATCACCCACAGTTTTAAAACATTCACACACACATACACAATATTTAGATGAATAAATATTGGAGACAATGGTGATTATGTGAATAATGTGGCTTGAGGATAAGGATTGATGATGAAATTTTTAGAGCAATCACTAATATATCTCAGTTTAGTAAGCAAGTACTGTAACCCCCTCTTTCATTGTGTTTTAAAGTTTTAGGAAGCATTATAAAAATACATGTGCAAAAAGCCTAAAATAGTCAGCGTTTTACATCTTGCACTTCAGCAAGCATAGAAACTTTAAATAAGCATTAATTTCATAGTGTCCATAGTGGGTAGGATGGGCTGGGCAATGTTTCAACCAGCTCTCAAAGAGAAAGGCCTCTTGTGGGCACTGAGACCAGACCTCTGCTAGGAAATCCCATTTGAGGGCTCAATTCTTCATTTTTCCAGCGCTTTGCTAAATTCTGTGTAATAGAACTATAATTCTGTGACCCAAATCTTACTAGTATAGGGGAGGAACAGCTCTCTGGCAAAGAAAATTTTAAGTTCTTTAACCCAGAGGCCCATCTGCTGTCACCATGGTCTGCTTTCTGGATTCATTCATATGTCTGTCACTTACTGTTTAATGACCTGAGACAAGTTACTTTAGCCTTGATAAGTCTCAAAACTCTCATTTTTAAAAAATGTAGGAAATACTAGTATTCGGCTCATAGTCTTATGTAAGATTAAGATAATGCTTATTAAGTATGTAGCACAACGCCTGACACAGCAATTAGGCCCAATATCACTGTCATTATAGAGTGACCACTGCTGATTCATAACAACAGCTCTCGAATCTGATTCTAAAGATGCTACTTCGAGGCTTTTATATAATATGGTTCAGAAGAACTAAAAACAGATGTTTTTCAGGAAGAAAAATAATGAGCCACTGTATTATAAATAAATGAGGTTTTTCTTCTCTACGGCTCTCTCTCAGCTGAGAGCTAAATTAATGGAACTGGTGCGTAATCTGGAATTAATTCCAAATTTGTCTTTAAAAAAATATGGTCCTTTTTCAAGACTGGCTGTTTATTTCTCTGGCCTCTTCTGGAGGTAAGAACCCCTGTGTTCCCAGGGGGGCTATCTGGGGATAATGACCACTAGGTGAGACATTCTGGGGTATTGTCAACTCCTTGAGGATGTCCCAGAAAAAAGAGACTAACAATGACTCAGGTCGATTTGACCCTTGTGTGGGATGAGAGTAAATACAGATTTGAACTTCTAGCAAAAGGCACTTTTTAAAATGCAACAGCATTTAGAGATTATTACTCCTCCTGGTGCCCTTTGGTTTAAAATGATATTCTTAAAGAGGGAAAGAAGTGAAATTGAAATTACTCTCAAATTAAAAAACCATAATACAGAAAGATTTTATTTTTGGTCATCTGAGTGATAATGTCTGAGTGTCAGTGCCAAGAAAATCTTTTGGGCTTCTCATTTCTGGAAAGTTTCAAAACATTGTTACAAAGCCATCTGTCCAAAAGACTTGGACCACCAGCAACAGTATCCCCTGGGAGCTTTGTAGAAATGCAGAACCCTGGGATCCACCCAGATCCTCAAATCAGAATCTTTATTTTAACAAATTGTAGAAGAGATTCATATACATATTAAAATATGAGAATGTTTGTCCGTGTGTGTGTATGTGTGTGTGTGTGTGTGTGTACGTCTGCGTGCTAGAATGAACTTTTAAAAATATAGATTCCCAGATTCCTATCATAAAGGGTCATTTAAATCTGAGTCTCTATGTTGTAAATTGGATTATTCATTTTTATTTCTGTCTTTACAGTTTCACATATGATTATAAACATGAACTCATCTTCAAACTGATAAAACATTTTATCTAGGATTAAAAGAGGTTTATAGGAAGACAAAACTTGATTGGCATTGTTCTTTGAGAGTTCTTACAATTACATAGAAGATTCTGACTCTAAATTTTGGTACATCTTGTGAATGTTTGGAACTGAGAAGATTAATCACACATTTTTCTGGAATTTTACATTTTCATCTAAGGATTTCATATTCCCATAGACTTAATATAGCTTTAAGTCTGATATGGGGAAAAGCCTAACTATTACACTCGTAAGATAGTAAAACTGAAAAAAAAAATTGATAAGAAATAAGCACAGTTGTCTTTTCATTGATATATCTTTAAATTTGTTGGTATTAGATGCATCACAAAGACAATGTGTACCTTTCTGTAACATACATAGATGAGATCATTGAATTAAAAAAGTAAACAAAAGCTCATTTAGTTTTACACTTCAAGTATTTTTAAATCCCTAGTGTTTCACTCTTTCAAAACTTCACCACTATATTATTGATGTGATTTTGGTTAACTTTTATTTTATAGATATAGTGAATCATATGCTCAGTATTTTTAAATGTCAATCTATATCTCCCAAGATATATGATCCATAAAATGATAAATTTTAATCTTTTATTTGAAAAGATTTCTGTACATTTCGGCTTTTTGCTCCATTAATGGACCCTTTAAATTTTGAATACCCCTGCTTATATCTCATAAATCTCCACTCTTTGCTTTAGCCACATTCCAGGGGGATCCCCTGCTCCTCAGGCTCCTTGTGAGGCTATCCCATAGGAATTCCACACTCCAAAGCACCATTAACAAGGAAGATCTTCCTCCTCATACCGGCATGCTACTTTGGAGTTCCAGAAATCAGGCCAAACTGCATGGCTTTGTATATGCTGTCCTCTGCCTACAGTCCTCGCTTTATTCCCCCCTCTACCTAATACTCGCCATAGCTTATTTCACCTTTTAAATTTCAATCCAAACATCATCTTCTCACCCTGACCATGCCTAGATGACTTTTCTACATTAGTTGCTCTCTGCACTTTTTATATACTGTAATCAGGAAATTGATGGCTTCTTAGTACTGATCACAATCTGCATTTTTTGCTTTGCCTATTAATTGTCTCTATTACTAAACTATAAAATTCCTTGAGCATGTGTTTAATGAAAATTTGTAGAAATCATCATTTTTTTCTGGAAAACTCATTTTCCCAGAGAAATAATAGCACCAAAATAATTGTTGTTAAATATTCATTGAGTTATAGAAATAACTTGAGGGTTTAAATACTTCTCTGATTTAATTCTTAAAACACTGATATTTCTATAATTATCCTCCTATTGAGGATAAAGATACACAATTATAGTTACCAGTAGACACTTGATATGCCAAAACAAAACATGTAACCGTTATGCTAAAAGGCTTTGAAAAGAAATTGGGACCAAAGAGTCTGTTACTATACATTCATCAAACAATAAAATCATACAAAATAAATGATTTCACCAGCTCATCTTCCCACAGGAGAATAAATTAGTTTATATCAGAGCCCAATAAAAGATACAGCACCTTCAGCACCAAGTTAATGATATTTAGGTTTCATAAACTAGCCTTTGCAGATACCAATGATTGGATCTTCCCGTGGTGAGGAATAACAGCAAAGCTTGCAATTTCACTTAATGGATGGGATAAGCTGCCTCATTTGAACTTCTCCTGTATTTGGAAAGCAATACTTGAGCAGGAGCATGGCTGACATATAAGTCAGGTCATTTTAAAAGATGCTCTCCAGCCTGTGCAGGAGGAGAACTTTAGAAAGTGAAGTCACAAGTAGAATAAGGAAGTTTGCATCATGAGAGAGCATAGAGAACTTTGCATTTGAAGATGAGATGCGGACATCACTGTGTACTTCCAGGAAAACCAGGAGTCTTAAAAGATATTGTGACAATACAATGATCTTGACATATCATACATTTGATTCGAATGGGGTATGAATTCTTATTTTTCCATGTGTA